AAAACTTGAAGCCTTGGTCAATTTTGGTGACTAGTCATTTCTGATGACTAATTTACTTTAATAGTGTCATTCAAAGTCCCAATTTCCTTTAGATTAACATTTTTGTCATTACATTCACTTACAATAACAGAGAGAATGTTCTTTGAACAGTCAAACACCCACACTAGAATTTTAAATCTTAGCTCTTTCAGAATGCTATTTTGGCAAATATCAATGTGGGAGGTAAGATGACTTAAATTTCATATTTTCTATTATAGTGAAAGGCATAATTTCTCTGACATGTTTTTTCATTTGGAATAAGGAATTACACTAGAATAATGATTTTAAATAAAATTTCTCTACATAATGGCATTTTTTCTCTTCAATTCTACCCAAACTAAAATAGCTCAAAAGCATTTATTTACTTATCATCACTGTTAAGAAATTACAGTCATTACACCTACTATCACTTCTCTTCTGTATCATCCTAGAAAAAAAAGATGCATCATTTTTTACTTCAGATCTCCTGTATGCCTGCCTTTGCACTTCATCAGTGGATTTGGCCTTCAGACAGCTGAACAAAGTACAGCACTCACCCAATCCAGCCTCTGGCTCCCAGGAGCTCACTTGCTGAGGAAGGCCGGCTTCAGCAGAGAGTAGAAGATCGTCCTTCCTCCTTAGTGCTCGGCCACACAGAATGTACACATCTCAAAGGGGGTCCGTGAGCAGCAGGAGGAACAATATAAATATTAAGCCTTCATTTAAGTTTTACTTGTCATAGGACACACTGGTGTAGACAACTTCATTATGCTAGGAACAGTTACTGTATTGTATTGCCAGTACCAGGGCTTGAACTCCAGGTCTCAAATTCACAACCTCATCTCACTTGGTTTTCTTTGTCAAGGCTGACACTCCACCAGCTGTATCTCTGGTCCAGCTTTTTGCTGATTAATTACCAAATGAGTTTCTTAGACTTTTCTGTCCAAGCTGCCTTTGAACCATGGTAGTTTCAGCTTTCTGTGTAGCTAGTATTAGAGGTGTGAGCCACCAGCACCTGGCTAAAATTTTTTTCCTTATATAACAAGATCTTTTATCATGGTTTAATCAATACTGAAGCTAAAACTGAAAAATAGCATTTAAAATGATAGCTAACATTGACCAGATTTAGAACTAGACATGTAAAGTAGTATTTGAAAGCCATTTGGCCCATTCATAAAGCATACTTTGGGAATTTATTAAGAGAAAGTAACTACCTGTAGAAGTGAGAAGTCAGATGGAATAACATTTCCTTTTGTGAGCTTCCTTCCCCTTCTACTTCTAAGAAATTTGGAAGTGGTTAAAAGAAATGCAAATCAAAACAACATTGAGATACCACCTCACCTCAGTTAGAATGGCTATAATCAAGAACTCTAATAACAACAGATGCTGGAGGGGATGTGGACAGAAGGGAACCCTACTGCATTGTTCCTGGGAGTGTAAACTTGTTCAACCACTTTGGAAAGTAGTATGGAGCTTCCTCAAAAGACTCCACATAGAGCTCTCCTATGACCCAGCAATCCCATTTTGGGGCATTTACCCAAAGGATCACAAACAAGACCATACTAAAGCTACCAGCACAACTATGTTTATTGCAGCATTATTTAGCATAGCTAAGATATGGAACCAACCCAGATGCCCCTCAGTAGATGAATGGATCAAGAAAATGTGGTATATATACACAATGGAATTCTATGCCTCCATCAGAAAGAATGACATTGCCCCATTTGTTAGGAAATGGAAAGGCTTGGAAAAACATATTAAGTGAAGTAAGCCAGGCCCAAAGAAACATAGGTCCCATGGTTTCCCTTATTTGCAATAACTAGTATATGTCTGAGACAAATAGAAACTGACAGACAAGATGATGTTAGGCAAAATGAACCCCAAGATAAGGATTCAAATGTTTTTTTTCTTTCTTGTGATTGTTTCTAACACATTTATAAGATGATTTCTTTGTTGTTTTGTATGTCCCTCCCCCACAATATAGCCCCTGCTTTCACCGTATTTGATGTTGGTATAATTTGTGGAGGGGAAGGGAAAAAACAAATCATTTAAATAGGGATACAGGTGGACCCATTGCAACAATGAGATGTACAAGTCGTTATGTTGAAAAATGAACTTTACAACTTTGGTGGGGGGAAGGGATGGGAAGGGAAAACAAAGGAGGAGGCAACAATGCTTGATAAGAAATGTACTCATCACCTTGCTCATGTAATTGTAACCCCTCTATACAGTATTTTCACAATAAAAAAAGAAATTTGGAAGTGGTGCTGTGGCTCAAGTGGTAAGCACTAGCCTTGAGCTGAAGAGCTGGGGGACAGCGCCCAGGCCCAGAGTTCAGACCCCACGACCGACAAAAAAAAAAAATTGATAAGTACATATTATGCATCAGGCACTGTACTGGTGCTCAAAGGTGCAAATACAGCTAAACTTACTACCCTGAAAGACACCACACAGCAGTGTTATATAATGCTTTTATTACCTCACTGATTGATTCATTTGAAATCTGCCAATTTTGGAATGTTGACATCATTTAAAGACACTTATAAGCGGACACCAGTGGCTTACACCTGTAATCCTAGCTAATCAGGAGGTTGAGATTTGTGAATCTCCATTCAAAGCCAGCCTGGGCAGACAAATAATGAAACTCTTATCTCCATTTAACCAGCAAAAAGCTGGAAGTGGAGGCACAGCTCAAGTTAGAACACTAGCCTTGAGAAAAAAGCTGAGCAAAAGTGTGAGGCCCTGAATTGAAGTACACGCGTATGTGTGTGTGCATGCACACACACACACACACACACACACACACACACACACACACACACAGAGCTTAGGACATTGTGAAGGCAGTGTTCCAGCAGGGAAAGGGTGTACACTGGGTCTACCAGCTGTTATCTGTGGCCATGAACTCTTACACGACTCCTCTGGGCTGGCACAGCTCTACCTGAGAGCATGACAGGGGTCCACACACCTCAGCATGGCTGTTGCTCTCTCTCCATACTTGCTGTTCCCAAGATTTCAGCCCAGGACCAGTGTGGAAGCCAAGTCTAAGTTACTAGCCCTAGGAGGGGAGAGTCCAAAACTTGCTGGAGGATCAAGATGCAGGGCTTACCCACCCTACCAAGCACCTTCTGGGCACTGCACATCCTGCTGGGTGCAAGCCCTTCGATGGAATGCCCTCTGGGGCACCGAGCTGAGAGTTGACTAGGGGAGAGAGACAGATGCAAAGAAAAGACCAAGTCATGGGCTGGGAAGGTGGCTCAGTGGTAGAGCGCTTGCCTTGCATGCCTGAGGCCCTGGGTTCAATTCCTCAGCACCACATAAGCAAAAAGAAAAAAGCCGGGAGTGGCGCTGTGGCTCAAGTGGTAGAGCGCTAGCCTTGAGCTGAAGAGCTGAGGGACAGTGCCCAGGCCCAGAGTTCAGGCCCCACGACTGGCCCCCCCCCCCGCAAAAAAAAAGACCAAGTGTTGGCAGCATGGAAATGCATCACACAAGCTCACACACCGTTGCCCAGTTCACCACAAGTTTCCTAGGACACACAGTGGGCCTGGGACTTTGGAGATAGCAAGAGAATCTTTAACACAGCCAGTCCCACCCCTTTGCTCCGATTTGTTGAGCTCAGATTTGATTGAATAGTTTGAAGCAGGGAAGATGTATTTACCTTAAGGTGACCAGGAAGAGACTCTGAAATCAGATTACCACTACACAAGTCATCTCAAAACCTCCGCATCACCTGTTATTTCTTGAACAATCTGAGGTATGTCTTAATTCCATCTTGGAAAAGCCAGTTAAGACAAAACCTTACCTTTCAAAATCTCTTCCTATTGGAAAGCAGTTCCTCTTTGCCTTTTGGTACTTATTGATACCCTGCAGCCCAAAGCAGGAACTTTTAACCAAACCACTTTGATAGAAAAGACAGTTTTTCTCACAGCCCAAGGACTGGTGAGGGAGTCTGGTTCTAGAAGAGGGGTCCACATGAGCACTCAGCTGATACAAAAGCGTGAGGGGGTGGACATGCTTAGAATACATGTCCAGAAGAAGAGGACCGGAGCAATTCCCTTGGCGTCCCTGGCTCCCTCCCCTTCCCCAGCTCAAGTCCAGAACGTATTGCTGGCCAGCACACTCACACTGTCCAGCAGATATGCAAGGCTGGCAGCTGTTCATGAATACAAAACAAACCCAAAGCATTCCCAGTCCTTAGGATTGCCACAGGACATTGAGGCCCAGCTGGTGTCCCTAGCCCCCTAACTTTATCGCAGTGAGAATAGTTTAACACACCACAACTCCTAAGCCAGACACGTTGTCCTATTTGGTGAACTCCCTCCTAATCATACAACACGCCCACGTGATCCTTTAACCCAGGTGCATGTATTTGATTAAAAATGGAAACAAACTTGTAAATCTCCCTCTCTCCCAGTTTTTTTTAGCTTCTTATAACTAATTGGTTTGACTAGTAACAGATTTCCCTGTCAATGTAATAAACTTAGATGATACTTCCTTTCTGTCTCCCACATCACCGGTGGACAGAGGTTGTCCAAGCCACACGGCTCAGAGTGGGGTGAAGTTTAGGGTGGCCTAAACCCTGGAGACAAGAGCAAGGGAGATTATCAGCAAATCACAAGTCTGGACTGACACGGCAGGGTCAGAATCTCTTATGCCCAACACTGTCCATCATTCAAGGGAATCCTAATCCTGTGCGCAGAAACTATAACAGAACAGAATATCAGACATCTAGCAATGTTCAGAAAACAGATTTGGTACTCTTTAGCATCAGAGCAGGCATGGTGGCCTAACATCTCCAGTCTCCACAGCAAACACTACATGGAATCCTTGGTTCATTTCTATAAACAGGATGATTTCTATAAAATGGATCTGATTTCTGTGATGAGATCAGGATAATCTGTCATTGACCACAAGCCCCAGTCATTTATTAATGTGAAGCTGCAAGTCTGAAAACTAGCAAGTTTGAAGAACCAAAGGAGAGCTGGAAACAAGCTTTGTTTTTATTTGAAGTCAGGAGAGCCATCCTTAATAAACCTTTAAATTCTTCTCCCTTCATGTGACTTAAATAATGAATGTATAAAGACTGAACAGATTTATTTACATACATGCAACTATAGAAAGATTACATTCTTTTTATGTGTTTACACTATCAAGCTCAGTCAAGCCAAATATGATGGTTAACTGCAGTGATTAATAAATGCAGCATTAGCTGAGGACTTTAAATTTAGAATGTTTTACTGAAGTCAGGGTTGATTAGTTCTCTATCTAAAACTGATGCTGTTTAAAAACTCTGAGCAATTTAGATGTAGCCAATTGAGTTAAATTCCAATGGGGTGAGAGAAATTCTATCAGGATAGATTCTGCTGTTCTGGGTTTACATTTGCAGGGAACAGACAGGCAGACATTACTGATGGGATGAGAAGAGCAGTAGACAAAGGTGCTGATCACATAACACCAATCATAGCAAAGATAAAGAAGTTTGGAATTAAAAAAAAACAAGGAATCTCAGGTGCATAAAGGTCTGAATATTGCTCATTGCAGCTTCCACACTTTTCCAGGAGCAGGAGTAAATAATTGAAGGGGAATAAAATGTTAATATAGTACCATACCTTACCAACTCTAAAAATAAACCCATAGAAAAGTCATTACAGTGGTGGAGACCCACATTTTTATTAATAAGAGGAAGGTGTGCTAGTGCGGAATGGTCATGTGTCCTGGGCCCTTCAGGACCCAGAAAGCACACTGGATGGATTATTCCAAATGCGTTACAAGGGGAGAGCCTAACTGACAGACTGTCCCGTGTCTGAAGTTGCACTGACTGAACACAATCCTGGGCAACTGGACAGGACTCAGAACAGTTAAGGCACAATTAGCTGTGACTTCGGGGAAGTGAGAACAGGGTGTTAAACTGCTAGGCATAGGCAGCTAGGTAGTCATGAACAGAAATGTCCCGGGCATTCTAACACCCCCTACCCCACACTCTGCATGAAGAGCATGGCCGCCCATCCTATGGACCCCACTTTCCATCTCAAGTTTCAACCAAGAAATAGGATCATATGCTTTCCCACACCCGGACAGCCCCTGGGCAGTGGCCATACCATTTGAAGAGGGCTAATACCGCCATCTTATTGGATAAAATCCCAAGTTCCACAGTGGGGACTGACTAAACCTCACCCTAACTCCCTCCGACCTCTCAGGTATGATTCTGATTTACTAAATCACTCTCCCTGCTCAGTGTAGTTCTTTTGTTGGGACAGCATCCTAAAGTTAGATGTTTACCCCCAAACTGAAGAATATCTGTTACATCCCAAGTACAAATAGTAAAATAGAAAATAGTAACAAAACTATTTTCTAGATCAGCCTTTAAGATATTTTATTACTGTCCCAAATGTCCTAGGACACTTCCTTTGTCCTTCTTTCCTTCCTTCCTTTCCTCCCTTCTTCCCTCCCTGCTTCCTTCCTTCCTTCCTTCCTCTCCCCACCTCCCCCAGGTTTTGAATGGAGGCGTGCTTTACTGTATCAATATGTTCAGGCTATTAAACTTCCATCTCTGGGGGTGGGAACGATCTCTCCGTGGGTCAGGGAAGATTCCTGGCATCAGATGCATGCAGTCTTGCCACCTCCAAGAAAAATGCAGCAAACAACTTGGACCCCTCTATGTAGTTCCACCTAACAAAAAGAAAAACCCAGAGAAACTTAACAGTTTCCATTCAAATGAAGGAAGAAGGGTATTCAACCATTTACATGGGAAGATTTGATATCATGAAATCAATCTAAGGTAGGTAAGACACTTCTGAGATGCTAGGATGAAAGGCACTTGGTAAAGCGGTATTATTAAGAGGATGGGTATTAGTCCTGGACACAAAGGCAAAAGAAAATCCCACTTTCCTTGGTTTCTAAAACATGTTCTTGTTTCCCACTAGTCTGGGGGACATAGGGCAGTTGTATTATCTGCGCACCATGTATGTATGTACATATGAATACTCTTTGTTAGGGGCTGAATTTCATGCTTTCCAAAATTCACATGTTGACACTCTAACCCCAAATATGACTATATTTAGAGGCAGGGCCTTTGATAAGACAACAGGAGAGAAAGGTATGCATAACTTCACAGGGCTGGTGCCTTGGAGAATAGCAAGAGATCAGAGCTGCTCACTTTGTGCCTAGCCCTTAGCCTCCCCCACCCTCTGCTTTCCCTTCCCCAGCTCCTCAGGTCTCTGGTTCTATTAGGTAAGGATACAGATTGCAGGTGGTCTGAGAGCTAGGAAGAAAGCCCTCAAGAGGTACCTAATCAGCCAGCACCTTCACCCAGGCCTTCCCAGACTCTGGGACAGGATAAAACAAATCTCTATTGTGGAAGCCACAGGGTCTGAGAGTGTCCCCTGTCACATAAGATAACAGAGGGGCTCCCGAGAAGCCCCCACATGGGGGTCAGCTGACCTGTTGATCTTCTCGTTCTGAGCATGCTCTCCATCATCAACAGCGCCCAGCGGCAGCATCATCACACTCTTGTCTATGATGTCCTGGAACGTTCCAGCAATTGGAATGGTTGATCCATCCTGGATCATATCAGGTTCTACTCCAAACACTAGAGCACAAGAAAAGAAGGCACCAGAACAAGTAAGGACAAAAGGAACCCCACAAGCTGTGTCTCTGGCAGGGCCGGAAGGAGCATGCCATCTCTCTGCTCTTATGGCATGCCGACAAGAGCAAAATGAAGTCCCCTGAAATACTGAGAGTGTTGGGATAACTCCTAAAGCTAGGTGGAATCCTGGCATGCATTTATGCAGACCTATAGTCCTAGTTGGAGATGAGGTCTGGAGCCACACTGTTGGGATTGGAATCCAGATCTCCTTGAAGAACTCACTCTACTTGGCAGCCAGCACCTAAGCCCGGGCCCACTGCTCAGCTAGTTGTCGGCCCTGACCACGTCTTGGAAGCTTATGGAATTGAAATAAACTCTCCTAGCAGGGTGCTGGTGGCTCGTGCCTGTAATCCTAGCTACTCAGAAAGCTGAGACCTGAGGATTGTGTTTTTAGGCTAACCTGGGCAGGAAAGTCCCTGAGACTCTTTTTTTTTTTTTTTGGGTCCGGTCGTGGGGCCTGAACTCTGGGCCTGGGCGCTGTCCCTCAGCTCTTCAGCTCAAGGCTAGCGCTCTACCACTTGAGCCACAGCGCCACTTCCCGCTTTTTTCTTTTTGCTTATGTGGTGCTGGGAATCGAACCCAGGGCCTCAGGCATGCAAGGCAAGCGCTCTACCACTGAGCTACCTTCCCAGCCCCAATCCCTGAGACTCTTATCTGTAGTTCACTAGCCAAAAATCCAGAAGTAGAGCAGTAGCTCAAGCAGCCAAGCACAAGCTTTCAGTAAAAATGCCAGTGAGAGGTTGGGGCCCTGAGTTCAAGCCCCAGGACCAACACATAATTTTAAAATAAATAAGTAAAGTAACACTCTTAAGGACATTCCAAACAAAACTGCTGCCTTCTAAAGAAGCTCTGTGGCCTTGTGGAAAGGCTGCTGTTGTTAGGGCAGAGGGACTGGACCTTTGTGATCTTAGACAGCAAGTGCATTTCTGGGAAGAAATTCCATGAGAATCTCACACTGCCTTCATGGGAGCTGAATCTCTGGGGTGGTCTGGTGTTTGACTCTGCCAAGAAGTCTGTCTGTGGGGTTTGGGGAGGACTGAGTCATACCCCATGTGAGGATGGTCTATGGCTAAAACCTGACAGGGCTGACTGCATTTATCCAAATAACAAGCACATTTACATTACATACACACACACACACACACACACACACACACACACACACACACACGTTAAGCATGTGTCTCAGAGAATGACCATTGTGTGTGTGTGTGTGTGTGTGTGTGTGCGCGCGCGCGCGCATGCACACTTGTCTCAGGACTTAAACTTAAGGCCCGGGCACTATCCTTGAGCTTTTTGCTCAAAGCTAGCACTTCACCACATGAGCTACAGCTTCATTTCCAACTTTGGCAATAAATTGGAGATGAAAGTATTACGGACTTTCCTGCCCCAACTGGCTTTGAATCATGATTCTGAGATCTGAGCCTGCTCAGTGGCCGTGTTTTCAACTCTACGCTTCCTGTTGTCCACAGGCTACTACAGTGTCCCCTGGCTTGTTCCCAGAGATTTCCACTTCTTCATTTCTAATCTCAAAAGACTTCCCTTACTTTTTTATGGAAGATAAGCTGTGCTTTGGTTTTCCATTTGGCCCAACATTTTCCAAGAATTTTGCATCAGGGAGATTTGAAGGTTTTTTAAATTTTGTTTTGTTTGTTGTTGTTGTTTTGCTGGTCCTGGAGCTTAAACTCTCGGCCTGGGCACTGTCCCTGAGCTTTTCTGCTCAAGGCTTATGCTGTACTACTCAAGCCACAGCTCCACTTCTGGCCTTTTCTGAGCAGTTTTATTTTTTTTAATTGGAGATAAGAGTGTCATGGACTTTCCTGCCCCAGCAGTCTGGGAACCATGATTCTCAGATCTCAGCCTCCTGAGTAGCTAGGATTACAGGTGTGAGCCACCAGTGCCTGACTAGTTTTGAAGTTTTTTTACTCCATCATTGCCCCCAAAACTAACCCTAGCTTTGTCACTTATTAGCTATGTGCCTTTCAGCAAATTGGTTTTTTTTCTCTTTATTTTAATTTTTTGCCTGGCCAGGCTTGATCTCAGGGTCTGGGCACTGTCCATGAGCTTCTTTTGGTCAAGGCTAGCACTCTACCACTTGAGCCTCAGTGCCACTTTTCAGCTTTTTCTGTGTATGTGGCACTGAGGACTCAAACCCAGGGCTTCATGCATGCTAGGCAAGCACTCTACTGCTAAGCCACATTCCCAGCCCTCAGCAAATTATTATTATTATTTTTTTATCTCTGTAAGCCTTAACTTCTTCAGTAAAATGGGGAAAACTGGAAGACTACATGAGACAGTGTGTACACAGTACCTGGGACACAGTGTGGACTCAATACTGCACCCTAGATAGAGAGGGAGTTGGTATCTGAGTTTTAAGAGTATCCTCTGATCCACTGTTCCACACACTTTCCCCACCCCCTACTCCCACCGCAATCTCACAAGCCGCCAAATATCTGAAAGTCTTACCTGTTCTGATGGCTCTTTTTGCGGCAAGATACTGACTGTCATTAGTCTTTGCAACCCATGGCTGAAGTCCCATTACCAAAGAGACAGCCATCTGATTGGAACTGTTTCTTTTGGAGAACACAGCTTCAAGATGTTGCTTTACCTACAAGTTGACATGGTAGGTAGTAAGAAAAATTTCACGTTTTTCTCTCATCCAGTGAGTATAGTCTTTCATCAAGAAACCAATTGAGCTAGGGGAGGAACTAAAGCGTTTTCCTTGAAATTATGAGGGCCTAGGTTCAATCTCTAGTTCAGCCAAAAAGAAAAATAGGGAGAGGGAGAGAGAGAAGGAGGGAGGGGAAAGAAAGACAGAGAGAGAGAAAGAAGAAGGAAGGAAGGAAAGAAAGAAAGAGAAAGAAAAGAAAGACAAGCAAGACAAGCAAGCAGGCAGGTGAGAGGGAGGGAGGAAAGGAGGGAAGGAGAGAAGGAGGGAAGGAGGGAGGGAGGGAAGAAGGGAGGGGAGATGGAAGGGGAACAGTTAGGGAGGGGTTCATTGGGCTGAGACAATGACTTAGGTTATACAGCATCTGCCAAAGCAAGTATGAGGCCCTGAATTCAAACTTCAGAATCCCTATGTTCCTACCCGACAAAAGGGAAAATTACAGTGATGAATGGTGTGATTTCTCCTTAGATTCAGCTAGAGGTTTCTCCATAGTATGCAAGACCTTCAGAGGCCCTGGGCTTCAGCAATGCCCACCTCTTTTTTTTTTTTTGGTCAGTCATGGGGCTTGAACTCTGGGCCTGGACACTGTCCCTCAGCTCTTCAGCTCAAGGCCAATGCTCTACCACTTGAACCACAATACCACTTCTGGTTTTCTTGTGGTTTATTGGAGTTTAGAGTCTCATTGCCTTTCTTGCCTGGGCTGGCTTTGAACTGCAATCCTCAGATCTCAGCCTCCTGAGTAGCTAGAATTACAGGTATGAGCCGCTGGTACCTGTCTCTATCCCTGTTCTTTTTTCTTTTCTGCCAGTCCTGTAGCTTGAATTCAGAGCCTGGGCACTACCCCTGAGCTTCTTTTGCTCAAGGCTAGCCCTCTACCACTTGAGCCACAGCGCCACTTCCAGCTTTTTCTGTTTATGTGGTACTGAGGAATCGAACCCAGGGCCTCATGCATGCAAGGTAAACACTCTACCACTGAGCTACATTCCCAGCCCTATCCCTATTCTTATATCAGAAATGTTGGCTGACTTTGAATTCAGATTCTGCTGTTTAAGTAGTTTGCTGAAAGTTATGAAACATAATTCAAGCATAACTTCTCAGTTGGAATGTTCTTGGCTTTTGATTTATTGGTACCCTGCTGACTCTGTTGGAAACATGGAGCATCTGGGTTTTTGCTGGAAAGTAGGAGCCATTCCAAGAAACACTGGGAAGGGGACAGTGCTACGTTCCTCTCTTCCCTTCCCCCAAGTCTTGTGAGAATCTTCTAGGGGAAACCCCAGCCATCCTCAGTGACTTTTCTTCTACTCATTTGTTCAGTGAGTACCAATGTCTGTCTAGGTGTTGGTAATTCAGCTATGAGACAGAGAAGGTCCTGTCCTGGTGGGTGGTGTGTCTTGAGAAAAGGGGTAATGTATTCAAAGGAAGGAAGGGGGCTGTGGGAAAGAAGGGCTTGGGGACAAAGAAGTTCTTTTTAAAATATAATTAGTGATAACAAGGAAGGAGAATAATGCAATTGAGAGTGGCAGAGGGCTGTGTGTGTTCAGCTCATTTATTCCACAGCCTATTTTCTGTTAAACTAACTTGAGACAAATCGATGATGGGTTGATAATTTAAACAGACAACTCCTTCTAGATAACATTTTCATTAAAATGGCTGCTTTCAAAGTGCTGATTTCAGACATCATATTAAAGAGAAAAAAAAAAACCAACTAATGATTGGACTTGAGATGTTTCTGACTGCATCCAGGGGTAGGCAGTTAGCTACTCCATCTAAACAGAAATCTAATTTTGCCTTTATAACTATCATCTAATTTTTAAAAAATTTCCCATCACTGAACTTCCAAATGGATATTTATCAGATCGCTACAATTGCTTAGAATTGTGGGAAGAAGTTCTCACTGAACAGATTGGCCTGGGTCTCTGACACAGCACCCTTCGTGTTGGAAAATATGATGCTTTGTTAGGAACACCAAATTGCTCCCTGCTGGGTGCAGGGCTCAGAAGCGGTTGTGGACGCTTGTTACCTGCTTCTCCACCACAGACACGTTCATGTGAGGGACGAGACGGATGGAAAATTTCCCTGTAACACAGCCAGGGATGACTGTTTTCGCTCCAGGCTCATCAAAGGCTCCCTCAATCCCGTGAATAGAGAGAGATGGGTACCTCCACAGGTGCATTAGGATTTCCTCCTAAAGTAGAATAAAAATCATCCACAGAACATCTGATTGAAACTCACGTGAAGCACTGCCACACACACCACACACATACACACACACACACACACACACACACACACACAATCCTAGAACAACCTCATGTGAATTACACAGCTTGTATCACCAACGCTGGCCCATCTGAGACCTACCAGTGACAGATGAACCGGTTCCTCACTAAGGAACCCAGGTGAGTCCCCCTCCCCAGGCCCTGGCCTTCCTCTTCCCCCCTCTTCTGCCTGCCCACACTGCCTCCCAGCACCTCTGTCTCCTGGGCTCTGGAGTTTGTGGTTAATAGATGGGCAAAGGGGAGTCAGATACTGAGTTCAACTATATATTTCTTTCCACGATCATTGCAATGATAACCTGTGTACCAAATTCTATTGTTCAGAAAACTTCAAAGGACTCTTTAGGCCTTTGGACCAGTTTTCTTTCTACTTGTGGCTTCACAGACTTAATTTGAGAGAATGAATACATCACATCAACAAGAAACACTGCCACTTCTTTTCAGCGTGATTTTGCCCTCTCTGGGCGTTTCCTTAGGAATCAGCCAGAGCTGCCAAATACCTAAGCAGGCAAGCATTTTGGTTTGTTATTTGTTGGTTGTGGGGTCTGAACTCTGGGCCTGGGCACTGTCCCTCAGCTCTTCAGCTCAAGACGAGCGCTCTACCACTTGAGCCACAGTGCCACTTCTGATTTTCTGGTAGTTTTGTTGGAGATAAGAGTCTCACGGACATTCCTGCCCAGGCTGGCTTTGAACTGTGACCCTCAGGTCTCAGCCTCCTCAGTAGCAGGATGACAGGCATGAGCCACCGGCACCCAGCTAAGCTTTTTGTTTTTAATGAAAAGAGGTCTAAATTTGCAATGGGATCTGGATCTCTATAGTAAAGGAGGAAATGCATTCACTTGCAGATTATCCCAGAAACTAATTCTGCTCAAGAAGGTGAACAATTTGGGGTCTTAGGTCTGAAACAGTCTCAGACTCTTTTGAATCTTGGAACTGTTGGGAAGTCTAGCTCTCTGGCTAAAGGCTGGGGTGGGCTTTAAGTTAATGAACTGCTTTAGGCAGGGCACCAGTGGTTCCCATTTGTAATTCTAGCCACCTGGGAGGCTGAGCTCAGGGTGATCACACCTGAGGCCACCCCGGCATACATGTAAGACCCCTTTGCAACCAAGAGCTGGGCATGGTAGCACACACCTATCATCCCAGTTATGAGCAGGAAACCTAAAACAGGTGGATCACAGGAAGCAAGACCCTACGTCAAAAATAATCAGTGTGCAAACAAGGACTGGAGGTGTAGCTCAGAAATAAAGCACCTACCTAGCAAGCACGAGGCCCTGAGTTCAAATACACTACTTTCAAAAATAAACAAGTAGCTGCATTGCGAAGGCATGCCTGAGAAGTGAGTCGTTGGTCATGTTCAGTAAGTACACAAGAAGAGCTTGCTGATTGAGACCAAGTGGCCTAGGAATTTACACCTGCTTCAGATTCTCCAAGCACAGATTAGCACCATCTGCTACTAATTAAATGCTGGGAAAACAAGACTTATTATCATAGTTCCCTTTTCACATTATTCATCATCAAGTGGCCATACCTTGGTATCAAACAGAAATTTCTCAACCTGGCTACTATTCCTGTATTCTTCTAGGTCCAGATCAATGCTTTTGTACTTCTGTATTTCCTCTGCTGTAATCGGAGCAACTTGGTCATAGATTCCAGGGATCAAGATATGACCTGACGAATCCACCAGGCTACCTGCAAAATGCACAAGAAATCAAGGCCAGGTAGATGTGACAAGGGAGGTGGTGCTGGTGTTCTGGGGTCAAGCCAAGCAATGGCTCCCTGCATCTCAGCAGGCCTGGTGATGGTCTCTGGTCTCCATGACTAGAGCCCTTGATAGCAACTCCACCTAAAAGGTGATAGTCAGAAGGAGGAGCTGGGTACTAGCTGGGCCCAGGCAAGGTTGGGTTATAATGGTCACCTGGCCTGGTAGAGGAGCTGACTCAAACACATGGGTCTACCACAGGTCGAGGGAACTTAACTCCCCTGCTCACATTCTCAACCGGGCCTCCTGTGTCACAACAAGGCTCCCAGCGCACCATCTATCATATCCTGGGTTAAAGAGTAAAGGTGACAGGGTGGGGAGGGTGGGCATGACGGAAGCACTTCATATGCCACGTGTGGAAATATTACAACTGTTTTTAAAGGGTGGGGGAGGAATAAGAAAGGGAAATAGAGAAGATAAATTTGATCAAAATACAATGTGAATGGAAATATCACAATTAAAACCATGATGAATAATTTTTTATCAGTAGCTGAACACTGGTGGCTCACATCTGAATTCCTAGTACTTAGGAAGCTGAGATCTGAGGATCACTGTTCAAAACCAGGCCAGGCAGGAAGATCTGTGAGACTCTTATCTCCAATTAACCACCAAAAAAGCTAGAAGGGGAGCTATGGCTCAAGTGGTAGACTGCTAGCCTTGAGCAAAAAATTTCAGATAGCACCCAGGCCCTGAGTTCATGCCCCAGGAGTGGTACACACATACACACACACACACACACACACACACACACACACACACACACAAAGTAATCTGTGCTCATTATAAAAAAATTTAAGTACATGTGTATATGTAAATATACATCTACAATGTGCATACACATACCTGTAAACATATATGACACTGAAGTTTCTCATTTTTCTCATCCTCTTATCCTACACACATTCCCCATAATAATATAATATTCATTTTCCCTCAGTAGTGTAAAGTCCTTGAGATCTAGTCTATCATGACCACAAAATGCCTTCTAGTAAGTCAAGCATATGCGTTAATCTGATCTTTATGAAAGAGTTTCATGGTCAATGAAATGGTGGAAATCATCAACAAATATTGAGAGAGGAAGCTGCCAGCACTGAGACTCAGCAAACACTGCTGAGTAGCTCCAGAAAATGCTCACCAAAGATACATTGCAACCCTGGATGTAGCTTGATATAGATGACAAAATGTCTGCAGGGCAGCTAATTTTTAATCCATCTCGGACTTTCATTCAAGGAAAGATACTTCACAAATAGCTGCCCCACAGTCTTACCATGATTAGAATTTGACAGCATCAGGCGAGGAACTCTATTGTGAGGCACACTCGCTCTCTAGGCTGGGTGTGGCAGTGAGTACTTCTAAACCCTAGTGCTGAGGCAGGAGGATGGTGAGTTCAAGTCCAGTCTGGCTATCTAGTGAGCCTCTATCTCAGAAAAGCAAAACCAAACAAAAAAGCTTCAGGCCAGTGTCAAGAACTTCAGTGCACACTGAGGATCCAGACACATCCCTGCTCTGCTAGCCACTGGGCCACAGACCCCACCTCCCCTCGAAGAGGGGCTCTCTGACCACAAACTAATGAGTGTGGTCTCATGTGAGCTGATTAGCAGGTTGCTTGGCTCTGTGTAGATACAACTGAAGCTAGGAAATGTCCTAGAAAATTCCACAGAGACGATGGTAACGGAACATGAAATGGACTTGTCATTATTTCAAAGATGATCATAGGAAACCAAGCTTGAGGCCTGACAGGGTTAGGGCTGTAGAATGTGAAGACAGCACCACTCACGGGGTCCTTTGGACCCTCTCTTAGTCCCAGAGCACTTTCCGCAGATTCCTGCTCCTAGGACCCCATTATGGACAGCATTAAAATCCATCATACTTCTAGTCCTGAGTTACAGAATTCCCCTCTTTAGCCCAATGAATTGTATAGTAATTCAGTGATTTAAACCCATTACCTAGATTAAAGTTTAAAAATAAGTTGGTTGGGGCTGGGAATGTGGCTTAGTGGTAGACAGCTTGCCTAGCATACATGAGCCCTAGTTTTGATTCCTCAGTACCACATAAACAGAAAAAGCTGGAAGTGGTACTGTATCTCAAGTGGTAGAGTGCTAGCCTTGAGCCAAAGAAGCTCGGGACAGTGCCCAGGCCCTGAGTTCAAGCCTCAGGACTGGTAATAATAATAAGAGAAGAAGGAGGAGGAGAAGGAGGAGCAGGAAGAGGAGGAGGAGGAGGAGGAGGAGGAGGAGGAGGAGGAGCTGCTGAAGGATTGGGACTAGCTAGCATCAATGTGCTGTCTACCTTCTCATTTACTCCAAAAACAAAATAGCATCAGCAGTGAGATAATCCCCAAACCTTCCCTGAGCATCATCCGTAAACTTCTGCCCACAGTCTCTCTCCCCTGCAAGGACGAGTGGGAAAGCACACAACACAGGCTCTGCTCCTAATCCAGACAGAGAGGTGCAGGTCAGGAGCAGGAGAAGAGCCTTACAGATGCACAGCCATGTGGGAGCACCGAGGAGATGCACTGCCCCAGGAGCACCGAGGAGCCAGCAGGAGCGCACCAGACCTCAGGGCCGTGCCGCTGGGCCCAGAAGGAGAGGGGCATAGATGACACAAATGTAGACCAACTGTATATTTAACAGATGGACGTACAGACGCACCAAACATAAAAGGGGGAGGGGGCAGAGGGAAAGAGGAGAACACGGTCAACCTGTCTCAAGGGCACCGTGTGCGTGCATGGGACAATCTCATCTCACCCTCTCCCTATTGATACACGCTCATTCAAAAGCAAAACGCAAACAAAGAAAAATGGGGGGGGGGTGAGGAAACAGAACAGTTATTACCAAGAAGAGCCACCAGATCGGCCATTGGTTCGTGAAGGATCCCACCGAAGGTTCCGGAGTGAAAATCCTGATCTCTGCATTTCACCTGTGGGGTAGGTAAGAGAAGGGTTCAGCTTCCCCGGGGACTCTGGCACCCACAGCCCTTCCCAGGTGGAAGGTGACCCCGAGTGGTGGTCGCCCTGGGACGCAGGCAACAGCCTCCCCTGGCCTTGCGTCTCTTGTGCCTCAGCCTTGGAGGTTGTGTATCGTTACTTCATTCCCCATCTTCCCTGAACCCCATTTGCCCAATTCTACCCATGAACACAGGCCCTCGCTGGGCCAAATTATTAGTGCCCATCTAGTTGTCTTGCTCTTGGCTTCATCCATCTTATAGATCACCACCCTAGAAAACGTCTCCTTCCCCGGGTCCTGAGGGAATAATGTTGGTTTCTTCCTGCCGCCGCCGCCGCCGCTTCACCTTTGGCTGGTTCTTCCTCTCCAGGAGCCTGGCACACTCGCATGGCATGGTTTTCTACCTCTGTAGGTCTGACATTGTGTCAACCCACATCGACGAGCAATGCGTGCCTACAGTGCCTTGACCCACACTTAGCTTCCAGGCTGCCGCTGGTGCCGGTGGTGGTGGTGTTCCAATCCTAGGGTTTGAACTCAGGGCCCAGGGGCTTCCAGTCTCTGGATTCCAACAGATCTAGAACCCAATTCAATGTCTTCCCTCCAGCTACTTCCTCCCAGCTTGGTCTCTCCTGTGTGCAGCGGCTCTAAGCCATCACTAGTTTCTGAGCTGGGATTTGGGGAAATGTCTCTGGTTCTTTCCCCCACATCACTCCTGCACAGCTGGTCTTCGCCTGCTCCCCTCTACCTTTGTTGTTCACAGGGCCTGAACTCTGGGCTTCGGTGATGTCCCTGAGCGCTTCAGCTCAAGGTGAGCACTCTACCACTTGAACCACAGTGCCACTTCCATCCCCTCTACCTGTAATGGAAGATGAGTCTTCCACTTAGTCCCGTAAGCTTGAGAAATTCACATTTTATTAGGCATTAGTTCTGAAGTACATTGGAGCTGATAGTCTTGCTTCTGAAATCTTAGGCTACTTGTCCTACCTTTGACCATGATTTCTCTTTTCTTCCTCTTCCTCCTCTCCCTCCTCCTCCTTGTGTGTGTGTGTGTGTGTGTGTGTGTGTGTGTGTGTGTGCATGCGCACACGCACATGTGTGCTTGAACTCAGGGCCTGGGTACTGTCCCTGAGCTTTTATGCTCAAGGCTAGTGCTCTACCAGCTGAGCCACAGCTCCACTTCTGGCTTTCAGTGGTTAATTGGAGATAAGAGTCACATGGACTTTCTGCCCAGCCTGGCTTTGAATGGTGATGCTCGGATTTCAGCATCCTCAGTAGCTAGGATTCCCAGCGTGAGCACCTTGTCCACTAAGCTACCACTCCCAGCTCTTGATCTACCTGACACCCAACAGAAGAGGCGCATTCTCCCCTCAGCTCAGAATCTCACTGCGGTCTCCTCTCTCCTCCTCCCTCTGTTCTCATAAATACCTTCTCCCCCATCTCCCAATATGGTCTTTGTGGATGGACCCTTCTTCCTGCTGCCTCCTGAAGGCTCTCTGAGATTCTATGCCTCTCCCAGACTTTACGCCATCTGTCCCTCTCACCACCGAGTTCCGAGGAAGAGATTTCTACCCGTGGCTGCTTCCTGTCTTCTCCCTCCCGCTCCTTAGGTATCTGTCTAGGGCAGTGGATTGGGGGGGGGGGGGAGCAGGGATGGGGGAGATACTGTCTTTTTCTGTCCTGGGATTCACCTTGCCATGTCTAGCAAAGTGTTTTTTCAAACACTAAAAATGTGTGATGTTTCCATCTGGTCCATAAAAATTGAATTTCACAACTGCCTGGGTGTGAAGAGGTCAGCATGGACTAATAAGCCTCCATTCCATTAGGTGACCCTCCAGCCTAAACTCTCTAATTATTTATACCACTCCATCTCCCAACTTTCTGATTCTACTTGTGTGCACTTATATCACAGGTTGTCTGTCTGAATGGAAAAGAGAAGGAAACTCTGTGTCAAACTCAAGCTAAATATCACAGGTAGTCACAGCAACTCCCTAGGGAAGAGGGAAGGTATGGTACCAGATTTTGAGGTGGAGAACTAAGGCCAGAGATTAGAAGCCTGCGTGGGTCAGGGCCATACCCTTTCTCCCAGACACTGACCCTGGGCCTGGGACCCCCAGGCACGGGCTGACCTGGTGTCCTCCTCTGGGAAGGAAATTGCTGCCTCCAGATTGCATAACCATCCTTCCTAGATCTTTGGTGTTTGTGTCACAAAGCTCCAGGAATCCTCTCTCCAGACGATAAGCACACAAAGCGCACGCGCTCCAAGTTCATAGGGCTGCCTGGATTACACCCAGATGCCAACACCTCGGCCACCCAGACTCTCAGGTGAGCTCTTCGGGGCTTCCTACCCAAGACCCCAGAATGGACTCCTCCCTCCTTTCTCCGTCCTTAGCCCCCAATCACCCCGTACCTCCACAGTGAAGTAGCTGTTCCCTCGGGTACCGTAGGTGAGCGCCGGCCTCCTGCGGCTGATCCACAGATTATCTGAGATCACGATGTAGTCCACACTGGAGAAGAAGCGGTCCTTCTCCTTCCTCACCAGCTCCTCCAGCCCCACAGAGCCCGCCTCCTCCATCCCTTCCAGGATGAACTTGACATTCACCGGGAGATCCTAGAATCGCAACAGAGCACAAAGACTGCCTAAAGTGCAAGCGCCACGCTCTGTGGTGCTAACACGAGACCATTCTCTCCACTCAATGTACGGACCGTTAACGCTCCCACGGCTCTGGTTTCACCCCGTGAATGGGCAGCTTGGTCCATCCATGAACGCTGCGCCCAACACCACCCAGCTTCCTTCACTGGAGGCATTTTTCCTCCTCCTCCTCCTCCTCCTCCTCCTTTTCCTCTTCCTCCTCCTCCTCCTCCTTTTCCTCCTCTTCTTCCCCCTCTTCCTTCTCCCCCTCCTCCTCTTCCTCCTCCTCCTCCTCCTTTTCCTCCTCCTCCTCTTCTTCCTCCTCCTCCTCCTTTTCCTCCTCCTCTTCCCCCTCTTCCTTCTCCCCCTCCTCCTCTTCCTCCTCCTCCTCCTCCTGCTGCACCTCCCCAAAAACAACTTTTCTGAGAAGAACTACAAAATTGCTCTTCTGCCCTCAGAATTCTTTGCATGATAAACAAGAACTCTTTCCTTTGAATGATTGTTCAGCTATATGGATCATGTTTATTTCCAGTGTCTTTTATTTTTCAGCTATGAGCTCAATCTGCCTTTTAATTTATTCCAAGCCTTTGATCTGGTAGCAAAATGGAATTGGCGATTTTATCCTGCTAATAAGAGTCACAGAAAGAGACCCTTTAAAATACTTACAACATACCACTTTTCCCATTTGGTTTTGAACTTAGTTTATAACTTCCTATCTTTAAGAGCCACATTAAGAAGAGAGAGCAAGGTCCTTTTCTAAGCACAGAACACGTGGAGGAGGGAGTACCGTGTGGATAACAGATGTAGCACAACCAGGGCCAGAGGTCCTAACGGGCATGGCTCACTGCTGAAGGACAGATGAGCGCAGGATCATGTACTAGAAAATAAGCCAGTTGGACCTTCCATTTGGATAAGGGCGTTGGGTAATGGTTTGTTCAGTGTACCCATTGCACTGTGTGCCACTTAGGAAGTAGAGCTGAGGTATGGAAAGTTTAACCTAGAGAAGTTTGTTATTAATATTTAATCCCTGAGAGGCAGTCGGAGATGATAAGCACTTTCTGGCAAACCACGTTTAATAAAACATAAACCAAGGCTAGAGCTAGGAAGCGTAGAAGAAGCCGCTCACCCACCTGCTCTCCAGCCTGCTCCTCAGTGCCCCAGGGGTGCGGGGCAAGCATGATCACCCCTGGCAGCTCACTACTCCATCATTCAAATGACTGTTAATAGCAGCTCTGTTCTCAGTACGATGAGCCAGTGAGGAATCTGTGCTTAAGAACTCGATGGGGAAGAAGGAAGCGAGGAAAGAGGGAAACCTCAGGTGGTCTGGTACCACTGGAAGACCTTTGCAGAATCTCTCTCTCTCTCTCTCTCTCTCTTCCCCTTCCTTCTCTCCCTCCTCTTTCCTTCCTTCCTTTCTTCCTCCTTCCATTTCTCCTTCCTTCTTTTGTTCTTTTCTTTCCTCTCTTCCTCCTTTTTTCTCTCCTTCCTTTCTCTCTTCCTCTTCCTCTCCCTTCCTTCCTTCTTTCTCTTTTAAACAGGGTCTCACTATATAGCGTAAGCTGGCTTAGAACTCAAGACTCTCCTGCCAGTTTCCCAAATGCTAGGATTTACAGATGTGCATCACCATACCAGGTTTGCAGAGTTCTCTTCATTTCACCTTCCTAACCAGCTGTGAGCTAGAAATTCTCATTCACAGAGAAGGAAAATGTGACCCAGGAAGATTGAGATGTGTCCAAGGGCAGTCAGTATTGCTTGTTTTTGTTATTTTATCATATAACTTATAGAGTGCTTGAAAGTGTACATGAAGCCCTGGGTTTGATTCCTCAGTAGCACATAAACAGAAAGAGCTGGAAGGGGCGCTGTGGCTCAAGTGGTAGAGTGTTAGCCTTGAGCAAAAGAAGCTCAGGGACAGTGCCGAGGCCTGAGTTCAAACCCCATAACTGGCATAAATAAATAAATAAAATGGCAAAGCTGATTCTGGCCTCATATTGTTTATGCAGATAAGAAGGAAGGAAAGAAGGAGCGAGGAAAGAAGGAAGGAAGGAAGGAAGGGAGGGAGGGAAGGAAGGATTGGAAGAAGGGAAGAACAGGCCGCATTCAAGTTCAGTACTTCTTTCGTTAATGAAGGGCTGTGGATAAGAAAGTAGTTTGTGCTGATCAGCAGGACCCAGCCAGAAACCTGTCCAGATTGATCAGGCTTGACTTTTTCCCATGAGATAAAGAAGTCGATAAATGTCAGCTAATGTCTCAGGAGAAACAGCTCCTGGGAGAGAAGCCTTGATTCTGATGAAGGAGTCGAGTCTGTTTATAAACAACATTTGGAGGCAGCACATTTGGAGATCTAAGCCAGCGGCCTTCCTCTGGGTGCACCGTGGCCGTGCGTCCGTCCTGTGAGAATCGGGCTTCTCCGGGGTTCTCAGAGGCTCAGCAGCCTCCGTAGCCAGGATTATGTAAGTATGAGCCACCAGCACTCACGAAGGCTGTACAGGTTTAAAGTTCAGCTTCACAAAATCCTACGCCCCTCAACAGCTAAGACATCGTGGGGTCAAGTTTGGAACCAGCTGTTCAATTCCTGCAGGTCGCCCCATGCAGAAAGGTAGCACTGAGTGCCTCCCATCGTCCCCTGGCCCCTCCCGTCCCCTGTCCCCTCCATCTCCTGTCCCCTCCATCTCCTGTCCCCTCCATCTCCTGTCCCCTCCATCTCCTGTCCCCTCCATCTCCTGTCCCCTCCATCTCCTGTCCCCTCCATCCCCTGTCCCCTCCCGACCCCTGTCCCCTCCATCCCCTGTCCCCTCCATCTCCTGTCCCCTCCGTCTCCTGTCCCCTCCATCCCCTGTCCCCTCCATCTCCTGTCCCCTCCATCTCCTGTCCCCTCCATCCCCTGTCCCCTCCGTCTCCTGTCCCCTCCATCTCCTGTCCCCTCCCATCTCCTGTCCCCTCCCGTCTCCTGTCCCCTCCATCTCCTGTCCCCTCCATCCCCTGTCCCCTCCGTCTCCTGTCCCCTCCGTCTCCTGTCCCCTCCCATCTCCTGTCCCCTCCGTCTCCTGTCCCCTCCGTCTCCTGTCCCCTCCCGTCTCCTGTCCCCTCCCATCTCCTGTCCCCTCCCATCTCCTGTCCCCTCCCATCTCCTGTCCCCTCCCATCTCCTGTCCCCTCCCGTCTCCTGTCCCCTCCCGTCTCCTGTCCCCTCCCGTCTCCTGTCCCCTCCCGTCTCCTGTCCCCTCCCGTCTCCTGTCCCCTCCGTCTCCTGTCCCCTCCGTCTCCTGTCCCCTCCGTCTCCTGTCCCCTCCGTCCCCTGTCCCCTCCGTCTCCTGTCCCCTCCATCTCCTGTCCCCTCCATCTCCTGTCCCCTCCATCTCCTGTCCCCTCCCGTCTCCTGTCCCCTCCCGTCTCCTGTCCCCTCCCGTCCTCTGTCCCCTCCCGTCTCCTGTCCCCTCCCGTCTCCTGTCCCCTCCCGTCTCCTGTCCCCTCCCGTCTCCTGTCCCCTCCCGTCTCCTGTCCCCTCCGTCTCCTGTCCCCTCCGTCCCCTGTCCCCTCCGTCTCCTGTCCCCTCCGTCTCCTGTCCCCTCCGTCTCCTGTCCCCTCCGTCCCCTGTCCCCTCCGTCCCCTGTCCCCTCCGTCTCCTGTCCCCTCCGTCTCCTGTCCCCTCCGTCTCCTGTCCCCTCCGTCTCCTGTCCCCTCCATCTCCTGTCCCCTCCCATCTCCTGTCCCCTCCCATCCCCTGTCCCCTCCATCCCCTGTCCCCTCCATCCCCTGTCCCCTCCATCCCCTGTCCCCTCCCGTCTCCTGTCCCCTCCCGTCTCCTGTCCCCTCCCGTCTCCTGTCCCCTCCATCTCCTGTCCCCTCCATCTCCTGTCCCCTCCGTCTCCTGTCCCCTCCGTCTCCTGTCCCCTCCGTCTCCTGTCCCCTCCGTCTCCTGTCCCCTCCGTCTCCTGTCCCCTCCGTCTCCTGTCCCCTCCCGTCTCCTGTCCCCTCCCGTCTCCTGTCCCCTCCCGTCTCCTGTCCCCTCCCATCTCCTGTCCCCTCCCGTCTCCTGTCCCCTCCCGTCTCCTGTCCCCTCCCATCTCCTGTCCCCTCCCGTCTCCTGTCCCCTCCCGTCTCCTGTCCCCTCCATCTCCTGTCCCCTCCATCTCCTGTCCCCTCCCATCTCCTGTCCCCTCCCGTCTCCTGTCCCCTCCCATCTCCTGTCCCCTCCCATCTCCTGTCCCCTCCGTCTCCTGTCCCCTCCATCTCCTGTCCCCTCCCGTCTCCTGTCCCCTCCCGTCTCCTGTCCCCTCCCATCTCCTGTCCCCTCCGTCTCCTGTCCCCTCCGTCTCCTGTCCCCTCCCATCTCCTGTCCCCTCCCGTCTCCTGTCCCCTCCGTCTCCTGTCCCCTCCGTCTCCTGTCCCCTCCATCTCCTGTCCCCTCCATCTCCTGTCCCCTCCCATCTCCTGTCCCCTCCATCCCCTGTCCCCTCCCATCTCCTGTCCCCTCCATCCCCTGTCCCCTCCCGTCTCCTGTCCCCTCCCATCTCCTGTCCCCTCCATCTCCTGTCCCCTCCCATCCCCTGTCCCCTCCATCTCCTGTCCCCTCTGTCTCCTGTCCCCTCCATCTCCTGTCCCCTCTGTCTCCTGTCCCCTCCCATCTCCTGTCCCCTCCATCTCCTGTCCCCTCCCATCCCCTGTCCCCTCCATCTCCTGTCCCCTCCGTCTCCTGTCCCCTCCATCTCCTGTCCCCTCTGTCTCCTGTCCCCTCCCATCTCCTGTCCCCTCCCATCCCCTGTCCCCTCCATCTCCTGTCCCCTCTGTCTCCTGTCCCCTCCCGTCCCCTGTCCCCTCCATCCCCTGTCCCCTCCGTCCCCTGTCCCCTCCATCTCCTGTCCCCTCCATCTCCTGTCCCCTCCATCTCCTGTCCCCTCCCATCTCCTGTCCCCTCCGTCTCCTGTCCCCTCCGTCTCCTGTCCCCTCTGTCTCCTGTCCCCTCCGTCTCCTGTCCCCTCTGTCTCCTGTCCCCTCCGTCTCCTGTCCCCTCATCTCCTGTCCCCTCCCATCTCCTGTCCCCTCCCATCTCCCTAGTGAAGCGGCCATCTCCCCAGTGCTCCTGCACACCTGTGAACCAGGTCAAGGCCAAGCTTGCTGCTTCCAGATTCCTGTTGCACCCTGGACCAGTAATGGACTCACAAAATGGGTGTGAGTAGAAGAGAAACTGATGCATGGTGCCCTGTGGAACTTTCTAGATGCCCAGGCCACTTCAGCAGGTGCCAGAGGCAGGGACCTCTGAGTCCTGTCATGTAGGCCTGGTGCCCCACTGAGGAGTCTTCTCTCCCACAGAGCATTGGATGTGGGGTAGTGTCTGCCCTCCAACCTTCTGTCTGAACACTGCCTCCTTCCCCACAAGTTTCCCTGAGACGGGGGGGGGGGGGGGGGGGAGTGGAGCTCACAGCCAGTGCCTTAGATAGGGGCGGGGTGGGGGAAGGCCTGGCAGTGAAGGGCCAGGTTCTCCACCTGCCACTCAAGTCCAATGGCCTGGTCATCTCCGTGGGACACAGGAGTGGGAAGTAAAACGCAGACTCCAAACCTGACCACCCAAACCAGTGCACTCCTTCCACAGAGCAAATCCAAGGCACAGAAGCTAAGCCCTACCCACAGCTGGACTGAAGCTTCTGTGAGTGTCTAAGCACCTTGCTAAGTACCAGAGGTGACTGGTCAGAGATGGAGGCCAAAGTAACCCCGTGAGAACACAGCACGGGGCCTGGCCCTACCAAAAATGTCCTCAACAGCCAGAATGCGTGGCTGACCCCAAAGCTGCTCCCATCCTTCCTCCACAACCCACATGCAACCCTAAGCAAAATGACCGGGAGTCCTAGCTACTCCAGAGGCTGAGATCTGAGGATCACGATTCAAAGCCAGTCCAAGCAGGAAAGTCCATGAGACTGGAGTCTCCAAAAACTGGAAAATTGGAAGTGGAACTGTGGCTCAAAGTGGTAGAGTGCTATCCCTGAGCAAAAATAAATAAATAAATAAAAATCAGGGACAGAGCCAAGCCCCTGAATTCAGGCCCCAACACACACACACACACACACACACACACACACACACACACACACACACACACACACACACACACACACACACGAAAAAGAGAAAAGGAAGGAAGGAAGGATGGGAGGAAGAAGGAAGGAAGGAAGGAAGAAAGGAAGGAAGGAAGGAAGGGACAAACTACTAGATCTACAGGAAGGAGCCTCAATGCCTGAGACCCAAGGTAAGGTAGCAGAGACATGACCCTAAATTAACTGCAAAGTAGTCAGTACCTTCTTTTAAACATGTGTACGAGTTTGTTAATGAGTGCATGCTTACTTCTAACAAGGAAGGAAATGGAAGGAGCCGTGCAAGGCTCTGGTAGCAGAGGGTAACCACCACTGGATCCACACAGTTTTTGTTGTGTTACGGTTGGGTTGGTTGGTTGCTGTTTTGTTTTCAGGATTTGAACGTTCTGAACCTTGCCCTAGAGCCAGCGCAGCTGCATCCAGCTCTTTGTGGTTCTGTTTGTTTTTCAGGTGGTGCCTGGGAGGGGAGGTTTGGGGCCACACAGCAGGCTCCAGGCCCTGGGGTTTGAGGCACGCTGGGTTTAGAGGTGGGAACTACCTTACTCCATTTGTGTTTTGACGGAAGAGTTTTACTCATTTTTTTTTCTACCTAGGCTTGCTTAAGTCCTGAACCTAGACTTCTAATTACTGTGCTAATCCCCGTGACCTGCTTTCCCCCTCCCCCACCCCCCTAGTCCAGGCACTGTCCCTGAGCTTCTTTTGCTCAAGGCTAGCACTCTACTACTTAAGCCACAGCACCACTTCCAGCTTCTTCGTGTATGTGGTACTGAGGAATCAAAGCCAGGGCTTGGTGCTTGCTAGGCCAGCGCCCTTCCACCAAGCCACATTCCCAGCCCCCTGTGACCTGTTTTTGATAGTCATCGCCACTACTTGGGGCCACATGAAATAGATTTCTCCATCTTCCCAACCTTATTTCTCCCATATAAAATGCATGTGACAGAATTTCTGCATCTTCCAAAGACAATTGGGAAACTGGGGAACACGGTGTAGCTTACTAGCGCCCCCAAATAGCATACCGCACTCCCTCTCGCCCATCTCACAGCTGGCCACCTACTTGATTCAGGGCTCTGAAGGCGCTCACGGCATTGATCCAAGCTAAGACGGGGCCTTTGTTGTCTGTGGTTCCTCGTCCATAGAGTTTGCCTGCAAAGCAAGGGGAGAACAACTTTTCCAAACAGCACAGAGACCTCTGCCAAGATGTGTGAGTTAAAAACAAATGTTGCTGGACGAGTAATGGTTTCCTTTAGCATTTTTTAATTAGCCGACAGTACAAGTAATAATATTAACAATGCTTTCCAACATCCCAGGCACAAATCTTGCTCTGAAACTGCAGAATGTGACTTCTTCTATACAAATCGTATGGTCCACGGCGAGTCAGATAAAATATGCTGATATGAAATTCACAGCTCGCCTCGGCCTCAGCAGTTAGGAATTGTCTGTTCTATCTGAGTTCACTGAAGGGACCTGAGGATTTGTTCCTGAACAAGCCCTGTCTCTTAAGATTTTACAGTTTGCCAAACAGTAGAATAGGTTACAATCTGCAGCATAGATTTCTACTATCCTTTCCTCTTCTTTTCTTCATAAAACAGAAACCACATTTGGATTTCTAATTTTTATGGTAGCATGGGATTTGAACTCAGAGTCTTACCCTTGCTGTGCAGGCTCTCTCCCACTTGAGCCACACCACCAACTCAGTATTTTTTAAAAAGAACTCATGTGACCTCAACAACTGTTTTCTTCCTGTCCAGCAGCCCTTCCTACAGACATACAGAGTCCTAGTTTGTTCCACAAAAGGAAGAAAGTCAGCCACATGGGACCAACTAGAAGACCTGGGAACAGCGCTCCGGTTCATTCTTGTTGTGTTGCTGTTGTTCCAGCAGTGGGGCCTGGGTACCGGCTGACACTTCACTATTTGAGACACAGCTCCACTTCCGGCTTTTTGGTGGTTAACTGGACATACGAGTCTCACAGACTTTTCTGTTTGAGTGGCCAGTGCCTGCCTTCTGTTGGGAGTGAAGGACCTAGGGCCAGGGCTGCATCTTTGCCTCTAACTCTGTGAGCCAGTCTGCACAGGCGCTGCAGGGTACTGACCGTCCACCTCGGCCAGCGTGAAGGGGTCGGTGAGCCACCCATCACCCCGCAGCGCAGGCTGCACGTCCAGGTGTCCGTACAGGCAGACCGTGGGCTTCTTCGGATCATTCCCCAGTTCAGCCAATATGATGGGCGGCAGGGGGAGGCTCTGGCCGTCCGGCAGCTGCAGAAAGAGAGTGGCTCACATTGTCCTTCCAGAAAATTCCAGACATTAGGAGTCCTGCCTGTTCTACCCTACCAGCACTGGGCTTAAGTCTTCTTTTAGTGCATCACTTTCTCCATCTCTAAAATGGGTACTCTTAGGTCTGGGAAGGTGGCTCAGTGGTAGAGTGCTTGCCTTGCATGCATGAAGCCCTGGGTTCGAGTCCTCAGTACCCCATACAGAGAAGAAGCCAGAAGTTGGGCTGTGACTCAAGTGGTGGAGCGCTGGCCTTGACAGTGCCCAGGCCCAGAGTTCAAGCCCCAGGATTGGCAAAAAAATAAAATACAAAAAATGAATAAAATAAAATGGGTACCCTCAGACTGTTAGGAAAAATAAAAAACATGCGGGTACACGTAGCTCATGCCTATAATCCTAGCTATTCAGGAAGCTGAGCTATGAGGGCCATGGTTCAAAGCCAACCAGGGCAGAAAAGTCTGTGAGAGTCTTATCTCCAGTAAACATCTCAGAAAAATTTGGAAATGGAGCTGTGGCTCAGTAGTAGAGCACTAGCCTTGAGCAAAAGAAGCTCAGGGACAGAGACTGGGCCCTGAGTTCAAGGCTCAGGACTTGCAAAAAAAATAAGTTAATTAAATAAAAATTTATATATATATACCTATATATGTATATGTGTGTGTATATATATGCATATATGTATTCTGGGTATTCTGCAGTTCTCATTGCCAACGCACAGGCCGCTGGTTTCTTAGGCTCAGGGTTGGCGCTTGTGATGGATTGGCAGTGCCTTCGAGGCCAGGGATCTAAGGAAAGAACCAGGGCCTTTGCGAAAGTGGCACATGGAGGCAAGAGAGAGGAGACCTGGGGGAGATCAAGAACCAGGGCCTAGCCCATAGCAGGCAACCGTCCCCACCTTCTGTGCCCCGGCCCCCGCCCAGTCCCACTCTGCCGGGGAGTCCGCAGAGCATTCTCATTTGGGCCTAGAGGGAGTCCCGGGTGGCTCATCGTATGCTCTGAACTTCCTGCAGCCAGTGGCTGTGGGTTCTCTATGGGAGGGACCCGTCCACTCCTCCCCGCCCCCCTCCCCCGCGCACCTGCTGAGAGCCCATGTCCCCCCCCACCTGCTGAGAGCCAGGTCCCCCCCCCACACCTGCTGAGAGCCCAGGTCCACCACATCCACGCCAGCTCCCAGGCGCTGCAGCTGGTCAGCAGCCATGGCCGCCATGCGGGCGAGCTCTTGTCTGAACCGGGGCACGGGCTGCCCAGACACGCTCTCCACAGCCACCCACTCCTTCAGCACCTGTCAGGACAGCAGGGGAGGGTTAGCGTGGCTGGGAACTCACATCCACTTGTGTGGGGGCAAGCCCAAACCCACAGGCGGTGTTAGTGACATTCAGAAGTACCTGATGAGGCGGGTGCCGGTGGGCGGCTCACACCTGCCATCCCAGCTACTCAGGAGGCTGGGTCTGAGGCTCATGGTGTGTAGCCCGCCTGGCCTGAAATGTCTCTGAGGCTCTTACCAGCAATCAACCAAACCCCAAAAGCCAGATGTGGAAGTGTGGTTTGAGTAGTAGAGAGCCAGCCTCGAGCGAAAAAGCGAAGTGAGCGCCTGAGGCCCTGAGTTCAAGGCCCCATTGCTGGCACACACAAAAAAGGGCAATTGATTTATAAACTGGAGGTTTAATCAAGACACCAGGACCAATGGTGCACAGCTATAATCCCAGCCCTTGGTAGACTGAGACAGGAGGATCAGAGGGAGAAAAAGATATATGGAAGCCAGAATCACATGGTTCCTGCAGAAGACAAGGCAGGGGGGATGGGGGACAGGGCAGGAGGGCTGCGGTGCGTTGCTGACGATCCCGGCACCTGCATGGCCAGTGGGGCGTGGCCTCCAGTCAGTGCTGTGTGTTCACGGGGTACTCGTGACTCCCACCGCCACCCTTCCTATCTCCTAGTCTTGGGTTTTCATCTGTGCAAGAGCATGGGGCTTCCCAACCCAAGGTTAGAGGGCCGTGAACTGAGGGGCTGTGTGTGGAAGTGGGCTGTCAGCCAGAGTTGCGCCACCACCACATGCCGGGGCTGGGGGTGAGCTGCTCCTACGGAGCCTGACACTTTTAGGAAAAGAACATTTATCTGGGGTGCTGATCTTGACTCTATTTCCCCTTCCCCCAAGCTGAGTAGATCTGGGATGCTTGAGGAGGTGGGAAGGGGAAAGGCTTGGACTCCAAGGCCGTGGGACACCATTTCTCCGCCTAGTCTGGAAATCCAGTTCCAAGATGCCTTTATGTCAGGCCAACATTGTAGCAGAAGGGGTGGCGGGGGGGGGGGGGGGGGTGATGGGGGCAGTAGGGGGGGGGCAGCGCCACAGGGCCATTCCAGTCTGCTTTGAGTCTTTAGCAGAGAGCATGACATTCCTAAATGATCAAATACACAGGTATCCAAACTGCTCTGAAACAGACACAGGGCAGAAGGCTCAGAGTCCAGAGTCCTGAGCCCCGGGGGCTGAGGGGCTCCGGCAGCAGCCCCAGGCTGCCTGTCCCAGGAGTCAGCAAGAGACCATGAGATGGAGACATTCCATAAGAGATTGCGCTGGCTGTCCGATTCCCTCCCCCGCCTCCCTCTGTCCCCATCCACACGTGTCCACACCACATGCCACAAGCCAGCAGGGAGCTATGAAGGAGGAGGCAGTGAGGCTGCCCAGGTATTGCCACAGCGCGGCCTTGAACCTGGACGAGGGGCCAGGTGGCGGTCACATGGGCACCCAGTGGGCCAAGGCAGATGTGAGATCCACGGAGGGGCGGGCACCGGGTGGACAGGGCTGGATGGAATGCTCAGGCATGGCACCGGGTGGACAGGGCTGGATGGAATGCTCATGGTGGGCACTGGGTGGACAGGGCTGGATGGAATGCTCATGGTGGGCACTGGGTGGACAGGGCTGGATGGAATGCTCAGACATGGCACCGGGTGGACAGGGCTGGATGGAATGCTCAGGCATGGCACCGGGTGGACAGGGCTGGATGGAATGCTCAGGCATGGCACCGGGTGGACAGGGCTGGATGGAATGCTCAGGCATGGCACCGGGTGGACAGGGCTGGATGGAATGCTCAGGCATGGCACCGGGTGGACAGGGCTGGAAGGAATGCTCAGGCATGGCACAGAGCGGCAGCCTCTTCCTCCAGGCTGCTGAACACTCACCGTTTGGGTTCAATGACTGACAGGCTCTTAATGGAATGGCGTTATCACTCCAGACCCCACCTCCCACGAGCCAGGGCGTCGGCCGTCCCTGCAGGCCCCCCACACACCCGGGCACCGTCCTACCTGCACAAACTCATCCTGGTGGGCGTCGATGTACTGGAAGAGTTTGTCCAGCGGCCCAGGGGATGGCGGGGACCAGGAGAACATCGCCCCGTCCAGCAGCAGCAGCAGCGCCAGGATGGACGAGGCCTGTCAACGGCGGATGGACACGAAGCAGTAAGTGATTGAAGTTTGGACCTTCACGTGCTTCAAGAAAAGCTGTTACACAACCCAGCTGCTTCAGGCCGGCTGGACTGAAGTAACCGGAGAAAAGAGAACTGGAAATGCAAGCTTTTGTCACAATCTGCCCCCACGCTCTTATTTCCAAAGCCAAAGGCAGACGCCAAGTGAATGACGTGACTCGGGTTCTTTCTGTGGCCCTCATTGTCCCTGTGGTCCAGTCCCTGTGAAGTAGAGCCAGTGCTCCGCCAAAGTGCGAGGCCAAAACAAATGTACACTTGGGAAAGTGGGAACCTTCTATGCTTGGTTAACCACTCCGAAGTGCCAAAGTGCCTTGCAGGATTGCCAGGCTCTCTCGCCTGCACCTAGGGCTGAAAACCTTAAAAGGTAAGAAAGGAAAAGAAATGTATACTGGGTGTGGTAGTGCATGCCTGTAATCCCAGCACTTGGGAGGCACAGGCAGGAGGGTCTAGAGTTTGAGACCAGTCTGAGCTCCATAAGCAGACCCAGTCTCAAAGAAAAGAAACAAAAGGAAAAAAGATGAAAGGGTATGAAACCTATAAACTTCACTGTAATAAAAGATACCGATATGTGGCATCTCTTTTAGGTAACCTTTTCAAGGACAAATCTTTACTTTCTCATGAGAGTTAATCAGATCACATGCTTGCAGTTTGGAGGGAAGAGTTAAGTTTTCACGCCTCTGGACATTTCTAATCTTCTACCTCTTGTCTTAACTCTCATACTCTAACCTCCAAAAGCAAATAGATTGAGTCATTGGAAAACGTTCTTTTTTTTTTTTTTTCTGCCAATCCTGGGGCTTGAACTCAAGGCCTGCGCACTGTCCTTGAGCTTTTGCTCAAGGCTAGCACTCTACCACTCGAGCCACATCATCATTTCCAGCTTTTTTGTTTATGTGGTACTGAAGAATCAAACCCAGAGCTTCATGCATGCTAAGGCACGTACTCTACCACTAAGCCACATTCCCAGCCCTTGACTTGTATTTTAAGACAATAGCTCTTCAATTATTTAGCTTTTCGTCATTCCCTGTGAAGAGTGGGTTATTGCCTGTCTCCATTATACCTCCAGATACCCTGTTTCTTCTGAGTATGTAAACTGTTTCATTGTTCTTCGGTATTTTCACCACCACCACCCCCTGTTCTTTACATCAGGGAATAGATCCTTTAGTGCCAGGACTGTGAGACACTGGTCTTCATGTTAGGGTTTATCCTCACAGGTGCTTCTCCCAAAACGAACAAGGAACACACGAACCCTGAACTCACGACTTCATGACCCATGCACCCATCCCAGCTTGGGCTATAACCCAGTATCAAAGGAGCTGTTCCACAGCCAGGGCCAGGCTGGAAGTGCCGCTTTCCATTCTGGTGTTTACTGTCTTTGCCTATAGATTAAGATAAGGTAAATGACATCTGGATGGAAGATATGGTAAAAGACCTTCACCACCTAGCAGCACTCTCTAGTTCTCGTCCCTGATACTCCACCCCCTTTCTGGAATTCTCTTTGATGGCTGGTAAGTCCCTTTTCTCCACCTTCCTGGTTTGTTTTTGTTTTTTAAGTTTTTTGTTTGTTTTGGTTTTGGTGTGCTGCTCTAGGGCTTGAACTCTGGGTGTGTGCACTGTCCTTGAGCTTTTCTGCTCAAGGCTAGGGCTGTAACACCACAGCCGCTGATCCACTTCTAGATTTATTTTTTTAAATAATTTATTGGAGAAAAGAGTATCAAGGTTGGACACTTGTGGCACACACCAGTAATCCTAGCTACTCAAGAGACTGAACTCTGTGGTTTGAAGCTGAACCCGACAGAAAACTCCCTGTGAGACCCCCATCTCCAATTAACCTCTGAAAAACTGGATAAAAAAAAACACAACCACACCATTTTTTTTTTGGTTGGTTGTGAGGTTTGAACTTTGAGCCTGGGCACTGCCCATCAGCTCTTCAGCTCAAGGCAAGCGCTCTACCACTTGAGCCATAGCGCCACTTCTAATTTTCTGGTGATTAATTGGAGATAAGAGTCTCACCAACTTTCCTTCGGGCTGGCTTTAAACCATGATCCCCAGATCTCAGCCTCATGAGTAGCTAGGATGACAGGTGTGAGCCATCGGCTCCTACCTGGATACAGATTTCTGTGCACTGTTGGGTGGTGTGTGGAGGGTGCAGTGTGGAGCCCAGTGGCTTGGGGCGGGGCTGCTTTGCCACCAGCGCTGGGCCGAGGGCTCCCGGGGCCGTGTGTTCGCATTCCCTTTTCCACGTGAGCGTTCTGTAGAATTAATATCCCCTCCTAAGGGAGGAAAAAAAAACTGCACTGTTGTCTGTATACAACAAAACATGAAGTATGTCAGAGCACACTCGTTCCCAAAGCAGCAGGTGTGTCAGAGGGTGTGCACATGCATGCACACGTGCACACACACAGGGCCATGCACGCCCTGGTACAGGAGGTGTGTCAGAGTGCACTGTGGCGGTTCAGCAGCCAGTGTGGCAGTGCGGTGAGCCAGGCGCTGCTGGAGATGCCTGTCATCCTGTGGAAGTGCTAGCACACCTGTACCTGGGCATGCATGGCCCTGTGTGTGTGTGTGTGTGTGTGTGTGTGTGCGCGCGTGCGAGCGCGCTGTGTCCTCCAGGCGCATTGTCTCCTGGTGCTGGGTCATGCTGAGGCTCTCGCCGTCACTGCACTTTCCCACTGCAGTTCTGCAAGGAGCCTCGCTCCTCAGCTGAGAAAGGAAAGAGCCATGCCCAAGCTAAATCGCCCAGCCCTGGCACGGCGCCCATCCACGGCACGGCGCCCATCCACGCATGTCAGGAAGTGCCCACAGCCATCTGGCCGACCTTACAACGCAGCACTAGCAGACCCAGCTGCCAGGCTGGCAGCTGGAGGGCTCACATTTCACTTCCAGGCCATCCACGGGCCTCCAAGCCACTCGCCGCACAGCAGCCCGCGGGATGTCTCAAAAAGTGGATGTTCATCTCTTTCAAGGCGGCTGCTCCCCCTGCCCCACCAGGCCACGGCTGCCACGCACCAGCTGAGCAAACACAGCGTCCATGCGCACTCTCCAGCCAGCTGCCAGAGCTACACGCCGGGAAGCGTGTGCTGATTCTCTTCCCAAACCAAACGGAACCTCGTGCTTCCGTTTCCTGGAGTTTATTTTGATAAATATTACTTTGTGTGACTTGAGGCACACAGGCTTTGGGCCTTTGTGATCCTCTCCTAGAAGTATCCTCCTTTGGTCTCACTGTGTGTGAATGCCTAGTGTCTTGTATAATTTACCATGTCCCTGTGTATTTTAGATCTAGTGTCTACATATGAGAGAAAACATGCACCATTTGTCTGTCTAAGCTTAGCTTACCTTCTGAACATGATTTGTTCAAGATCCATCCATTTCCCTGCAAATGACATAATATTATTCTTTTAATGGCTGTGTAAAATCCCATTGTGTATAGGTACCACATGTATTGTATCCACTCATCTATTGTAGGGCATCGGGGCTGTTTCCACAGCTTGGCTGTTGTGGATAGTGCAGCAATGAACATGGATGCACAAGCATCTTTATGGATCCTGGCTTGTGATGCTCAGGGTAGATGCCCAGGAATGGTATGGCTGGGTCCCAGGAAAGGTCTATGTTTAGTTTTTTGGGGAACTTCCAGATTGCTGTCCAGAGTGGTTGTACGAGTTTCCATTCCCACCAACAGTGTAATAGCGTTCCTTTCCCCCTATTGCCTCCAGTATTTGTTGTATTCCAATTTACAATGTTGGTGTTCTGAATATTCTAGAATGCACCAATAGCGGAGTACTGGCCTGACTGAAAATGTCCAAGAGACAGTGCTCCTCCCCAAGCTAGAACGTCACTTGGCACGGGAGGAAAACATCCCTGCTTCTATCCCATTACCACAGAATAAGAGAGAGGTATTGTGCTTTGAAATTCTGAGACTTGATTTGCATAGCATCTGAGAGACCACATGTTTACAAGTAGATGGAGAGAGGGAGAGAGAGAGAGGGAGAGGGATGAGGAGAGGAAAAGAGGGAGAGGGAGAGAGAAGGAGGGAGAGAGAGGAAGAGAGAGGGGGAGGGAGAGATGAAGAAAGAGACAGAGAGGGAAAAGAGAGGGAGAGAGAGGGAGACAGATGGGGAGAGAGGGAGACAGATGGGGAGAGAGGGAGACAGATGGGGAGAGAGGGAGACAGATAGGGAGAGAGGGAGACAGATAGGGAGAGAAAGCAATTTTGACCAGTGTAGATTTAAAAAAATATATCAGAAGGGGTTCCTGATTTATGAAACTGTAACCCCTCTGTACATCATATTTATAATAACAAGAAAAAAAATTGAAGGAAAAAATATTGCCAAATAGAACCAAATACTCAAAGAATCGTTCAACAGGGAAAACCAGTCCTTCCAACAGCTGGTGCAGCAGCTCACCTCCACCTCTGCCTCACACCACACATGCAAACCAAGTTGCAAACTCAAGACCTGAATGCAAGTGTCAAACCCATGAAACCCCTGAACAATAACAATCCTAGCCTTGGACCTGGTGAGAGCTTCTTAGATATGATGCCAGCAAAAGAAAAAAATGAACTTCACAAAAATTAAACATGTGCCTCAAATGACACCATTAAGCAGTAACTCAAGCAGTAGAACATTTGCCTGCCAAATGGAAGGCCCTAAGTTCAAACCCCAGGACCCAGCACCACCAAAACAAAAACAAAAAGAAACAACAACAAAAAGAAAAGGAAGCCAAGCCGGTGGGTTATATCACTAATTCCAGCACTTGAGAGGCTGAGATGGGAAGGAAGATTGTGAATTCAAAGACAAAGATTCAAATTCAAAGATTATGAGTTCAAAGACAGCCTAAGCTATACAGCAAGGTATGTCTCAAAACCAAAAAGCCAGAAGCTGATGGCTCCTGCCTATAATCCTATTCAGAAGACTAAGATCTGAGGATTTCAGTTCAAAGTCAGCTCGCACACACAAATCTGAGA